GCTGGCGGAGGTGGCGGGCGGGCGCGTGGCCGCGCTGCTGCTGGCCGGCGGGCAGGGCACGCGCCTCGGCGTCCCCTACCCCAAGGGCATGTGCGACGTGGGGCTGCCGTCGCGCAAGAGCCTCTTCGAGCTGCAGGCGCAGCGGCTGCGGCGGCTGCAGCGCCTGGCCCAGGAGCGGCACGGCGCCGCCGGCACCATCCCCTGGTAAGGGCACCGCGAGCGGGTCCCGGCGTCCCGCCTTGGCCGCTCCGCCTTGGCGTCGACGGCCGTGACGCAGGCCGGGAGCGTCGCGCCCGTCGGGGCATCCCGGTTGGGCCSTGCTGGCCTTGGTGGTGGGAGCCGAGGGGAGGTCGGTGTCCCCTTGGGGTGGYGGGTCCAGCCCCGTGGCCGTGCGGGTGCCGCGGCCGCCTGGGAAGGGTGGGGAGCATCGGAGCCGGGACATGGCGCACAGTCAGTCTGCGTCACGCGGGGAGTTCCCGGCACATGGACCCGCTCCCGGCGAGGGCGGCGTGGGGATGGGCTGCCGGGAAGGACCGGGACCGTGTGCCTGCCAGATGGGAGGGTCGGCTCCTCGGAGCCCCTGGGGAGACGGGAGGGAAGCGGAGCCGCCCGGCGTGGGCTGAAGCCTCGGAGGCTGCCCAGGTGCCGCTGAGCCCCGGGTCCTCTCTGCTCCCAGGTACATCATGACGAGCGGCCGCACGATGGAGTCCACCAAGGAGTTCTTCCTCAAGCACCGCTATTTCGGCTTGGAGAAAGAGAACGTCATCTTCTTCCAGCAAGGGATGCTGCCAGCTATGGGATTCGATGGGAAAATCCTTCTGGAAGAAAAGGGCAAGATCTGCATGGCACCAGGTCTGTGGCCGAGAGCCGCTGCTGGGGACGTGTGGGGTGAGATGCCCAGAGCTCCTSTGCCGTGGTGGCATCCCGCTGCCCTGCAGAGCAGCTTTGTGCAGTGTGCCCTGGCTCTTGGAGGGCAAGGCACCCTACCAGACAGGGAGCGATGGGGACAGCGGCTCCCCGGAGCCCTGGCTCCGYGGAGGATGGGGTAGGGATGGGACAGCCGGCTGTTGCTGTGGCCCCGACGCTCTCCTCCCTCCGCAGACGGCAACGGGGGCCTGTACCGGGCGCTGGGCGCGCAGGGCCTCGTGGCCGACATGGAGCGCAGGGGCGTGCGCAGCGTGCACGTGTACTGCGTGGACAACATCCTGGTGAAGGTGGCCGACCCCGCCTTCATCGGCTTCTGCCTGGAGAAGGGAGCCGACTGCGGCGCCAAGGTTTGTTGGAGCAGCTTTCCTGGCCTTTCCTTGGCCAGTCTGCCGGGATTAGGTTAGGGCTAGGGAGTGAGGAAGCCTAGAGCCCCATGGGGCTAGAACGGGCCTGCCAAGAGAAATGCAGCTCTGCATCCAGACTGGGCTAGGAGCACGGCTACTGTTCGGCCAGCACCGAGCGTGGTGCTGTCCGGGCACCTCTGGTACCCGGGGACTCTTCCGCAGGCTGCGAGATGTCCCTGGCTGTGACGTGCTGGGCACGTGACCAGGATGCAGAGGGTGCAGCCGCCTCCTGGGGCGGCASCCAGCCCTTGGTCTCGCGCGTACCTTGCACACCCAAAGTTTAGACGAGCAGCGGAAGGGGCTGTGCGCTTGTGTTTGCACAGGGCTGGGCTTGGCCCAGAGCCTGCCCGGGGAAGAGCCCTGACAAACAGGTGATAGGACTCGCTGGCCTTGGAGCCTTCCGAGAGGGAAAGGGGTTGCTCCTGGTCCAGGCGAAAGGAGGAGAGAATGAACCACCAAGTGAGAACACCCTGCGATGGGAAAGGGTGTTCACAGCCGGCCTGGCAGGCGGTGGCCGGGACGGGGGTCCCTGGCAAGAGGGCTCGGTGCTGGGGTTCGGGTGCGAGCGACACCTCTTTGCCTCCCCGTGTCCTGCTTTCCATGGGTYGCGTTGGGAGCGAGGGCGCCGAAGAGCTGCCCTTTGCCGACGGCGCTTCCCTCGTGCAGGTGGTGGAGAAGACCAACCCCACGGAGCCGGTCGGCGTGGTGTGCCGCGTGGACGGCGTCTACCAGGTGGTGGARTACAGCGAGATCTCCCTGGGCACRGCGCAGAAGCGGGGCGCCGACGGGCGGCTGCTCTTCAACGCGGGCAACATTGCCAACCACTACTTCAGCACGGCCTTCCTGAAGGACGTGGTCGAGTACGGGACGCGCTGGCGCGAAGCCCACGGCCTGATCCCATCCCTGGGCTGGCTTCCCGTGCCCGGACGGCGCTGAGCCGGGTCTGGCTGCTCCGGGGAGGATCTGGGTGTCAGGGTCCGGGGGGTCGGGGCTGAACCCGCTCCCTGCTCCGCGCTGGTCCCTCCTGCCCGCCCGCCCCAGTGACGCCTCTTCCCTGGCCTCGCAGCACCTACGAGCCGCAGCTGAAGCACCACGTAGCTGAGAAGAAGATCCCCCACGTGGACATCGCTACGGGGCAGCTCGTCCAACCCGAGAAGCCCAACGGCATCAAGATGGAAAAGTTCGTTTTCGACATCTTCCAGTTTTCCAAGTATGTGCTTTACTCAGAGGGAAGATGTTGGAAAACGTCTTCCAGTTTTCCAAGTATTTGCTTTGCTCAGGTGGCCTCGTGGGGTCAGGGAGGGCTCCAAGCCCCCCATGCTGTTCAGCAGCAGTGGATAATGTGCCCTGATGTGCGTGGGGATAGGAGCAATAGCTGCCTGCCTCTTGCTCTGTGGACGTTGCCCCTCGCCCCTCTTTGGCCCTATCTCCTGGGCCACAGGGACGGTCACCTGCATCTCCTCTCTCTGTGCACTTCATGGTGGCCTCTTGTGGCAGCAGGAGAAGCTGAGCAATGGGGCTCTTGGATCTGTGCTCTGGAGAGCACACCGGTACATGCTGTGCTTRTGGGTCATGGTCTCCATGCCCTGTTCAGTCAGCCCCATGCCAGCCGCCTGTGGGGACACCTGGGTCCCCCCAGCCCCTTTATGGTTGGGCAGGTTGCAGAGTGGTCTGTGGCCCTGGCTCCCCCAGCCTGCTAGCAGAGGAGCCAAAGCAAAAGGGTCAAAGCAGGCCTGTTTTCCAAGCTTGACTTTCCCGTGCTGTGTTCCCTTGCTTCCAGGAAGTTTGTGGTCTACGAGGTCCTGCGCGAGGACGAGTTTTCTCCTCTGAAGAACGCAGACAGCCAGAACGGGAAGGACAATCCCACCACGGCGCGACATGCCTTGATGTCCCTGCATCACCGCTGGGTTCTCAACGCAGGGGGGCATTTTGTGGATGAAAACGGCACGCGCATCCCCGCCATCCCTCGGTGAGCAGCTGCTCCTGTTATACCCATGCAGCCCTTTGCCTTCCTAGGGGATGTGGCTTGGATCCTGGGGTAAGTGAGGTGAGCTGCTCTGCCCTGGGCAGGAGAACCTCATGCGTTATGTTTGGGCTCGGGATAAAATGTTAGGCAGCTCCCAGCCCTTCCACACTCCTAATGCTTCCAGCATTGCCTGAAGCCACTAAGCTGGAGCCCCTTGTCAYGGAAGCAGCAGCTTTCCTGCTCGTGTCAGCCCCTGGGAACTGCAGGACTCCCTTGCACAGCCAAGCTCGGAGGACGTGGCTTCCTAAACCCGCCACGTGCTACGGGACTCGTGCAGCAGCCAGGCTGGGCTTGTGGCACCCCTCAACCCGCAGCCTTTCCGCCGCCTCYGGAGCGGGGCTGGAGACCCGCACACCCCACGCCTGTTCCTCAGCTCCCTCCTATCCCCATCCTTGCTAACGCTTGTTTGTTCCCACGTAGCGTCGCAAACGGAAGGTCGGACGGCACCGCGGCTGATGCCGAGGACAAGTAAATATTGATGCCGAGGCCGAGGGCAGCCGGGCCGCAGTGCATGGTGGCGGGGCCGCGCTTGGTGCTGCTCCCCGCTCCGCGGGCGCTCGCGGCAGGGCTCCGGGCTCGCGGGGCATGCGGGCGGCGCAGCATGTCTTGCMGCAGGGCCCTGTGGAGGCTGCTTCTCACGGGAGCTGGGGATGTTGCAGCGTCTGCTGATTTCCTGCGCTCCTTTCCAGAGGCTCGGAGGGACTGGGCAGCGCTGACTGGAAGGGGTTTGGGGCAGGAGAGGCTTTAGGGGCCTGGCTCCAGCTGCTCTCCCTCCACTTGCTCATAGSGGGTAGTGAGCGCAGAGCCTGGACGGACACCGGGAACACCAGGCACGGAGCCGTCAGCTCCGTGTCGAGCCCGTGGGCTCCAGGTTACGGCTCAATAGGAGCCGGGACCTTTGAGCTTGTGGGAGGTAAAGCAGAGGGCAATGCCGCTGTCCTGCCAGGCTCCCTGATGCCTCTGTGGAGCTGCTTATGGATCTGCAGCGCTCCCAACCATCGGGTTGGTGCRCGGGGCCGTCCGGCTGCCTCCGATGGGTCGCTCCGCGGCGCCTGCCTTGGCCGCCCCCTCCCTGCCCTCGGATCCCGCAGGGCCCGGGCAGCGCCGGGCGGGCGCTCTTGCGAAAGGGCGCCGCAGTTTCCCTGCTTCCCGGATCCCGCCGTCACTGCCGGCGCTGCCGGGCCGCTGCTGGGAGCGGCCCTTGGCTCCCGCTGCTGCCGGGCAGGCTGCAACCTGGAACGGGATCACGTCGTCACGGAACGGGATCACGTCGGCACGGCCGTGTCGCGCAGGGCTGGTGTAACCCTTTGCGCGGGCCACCTGATAATTTATACGTGGCTCCAGGTATTAAGTTGTGAAGATCCAGACCGCAAACCCAGTGCTGGTTGGAACCAAGGGTTTACAAAGTGTTAAAACAGCTTCAGTGCTAACTGTGCATTCCCTCACGGACATGGGGAGCGCTGTCTGGGCATCCAGGATTGAAAGCTGAGACGTGTTGAGTTGGAGAGTAAGAAAGCTTCTTATCTTCCGTGCCCTGGGCGCCCCTTGCGAGAGGAGCAGTCACGTCTACTGCTTCTTGACGCATGTGCTTGGGTTCCTGAGTTTTAGTTCCGACTGTGAGTGTTGCCACACGTAGGCAGTCACCCTGGGTTTTGTGTCGATGGTGGTCAATGGCAGCTCTTTTCTTACAGAGTTTTTACATTGGGTCGGACTGAGGGAAATACAAGTGCAAAGACTAGGTCGGAATAGGWGAGGTAGGGCTTGTGTTTACTCACAACATAGACTGGCAGAGAGCTGACCTAGAGTGTGGCTTGGGCCGCAGGGGCCGGGGCTTCCTGCAGAGCCTTTTTGGCTGCAATGCCAGCAGATGCCAAGGGGCACCCCAGGCCACCGCAGTGGTTGCCCGTGCGTTCCTGTGCGCTCGCAGCTGTGAGGACTTGCAGTGTCACCGATGGGCTGGTCTTGTGTGCAGCTGGATGGAGGAGGCCCAGCCGAGGCCTGGAGCGGCGTGACGGGCACCGCTCCCGTGGATCTGGATTATGGATCCATGTGGATCATGGATCTGTGTTTTTGTCACCATCTCAGACTTGCATCCGGCTGGAGCTCGCGAGCCGGGGGGCCGAGGTGCAGCAGGAACAGGGGGTGCTGCCCTCACGGCGTGGAAGGGATGCCGCTCCGTCCGTGGCGAAGCTCCGTCCCAGCCTCTCTGCCCCACAGCTGCTGCCGTACCTAAACCTCACCAACAGCTGCGTGGGGCGCGTGGGGCTTCACTAACCCGGGCAGCTCCGCGGTGTCTCCTTGGGTCAGCCCATGTGCCCTGCCATTGAATACCTAACGCTCCCGACTCCTCTCTTGCAGCCTGAAGGATGCGGGTGACCTGCCGATCCAGTGCGAGATTTCTCCCCTCGTCTCCTACGGAGGAGAAGTAAGTGTTGGCTCTGCAGAGCTCCAGCGCRTGTGCAGGGCGGCCCAGGGCACGTGGGGCTGCTTGGGCTCCCCGAAACCCCAGGGCAGGCAGGATGGTCCGTCAAAAACGTAGCCCAAATTCCCTGGTGTCCCCCGAGCCTCCTGCATGGCAGGGGTTTCTGGTGCCTGCTGGGCATGGGTGCGCAGTCCTCAGCTTCCTAACCAGCCCCTTGTTTCTCCCTCAGGACCTGGAAAAGTATGTGAAAGACCGGGAGTTCCGCGCGCCTTTAGTCATCGACGAGCAGGGGATCCACGAGCTGGTGAAGAACGGGCTGTAGCCGCGGGGAGACGAGGCCCCGCGCGGCACCCCTCTCCAGCGGCACCCTCTGGATTGGGACACAGGAAGGGTTCCAGCTGTACCGGGTAGGGGCTGGCCCTGCTCGCTCCCAACTGGCGTGCAGAGGAAGATGGATCCCGCTTGGTCCTGGGCATGTCGAATGCTTCTATTTATGTTTTAATTTAAAAAAGCAAACACTTTATGGGTTCCCCTGCCACAGAGCACAGCTGCGGTGCTGCTGATGGCACGTCAGGCTACGAGCTTTTATTTTTAAATGTGTATATAGTAACAGGCAATGTACATGCAGAAGATTTTTACGGTACGGGGCTGGGGTTAATCTTGAATTTTTATTTTTCTCAGATACACATGACTATTTTTTTTAACGGGGCCCTTGTCATTGCCCACGTCCTCCCCCTTTCGGTCCTCCTTTGTACCTTGCACGACTGGAAGAACCCGATTAAAGCTCCGCGTCCCTCCTGGCTGTGGTCCGGTGGTGTTTCGTGCTGGTGCCCGGCCTCGGGGGGCTGCTGGGTGCCGCACGGGGCAGGACTCGGGACGGCAGCGCCAAGCGTTCCCCTTGCCACCAAGTGCTCTTTAAAGCGCTCCTTGAGGGAACCAAGGGCTGTGCTCTCCTTTGGGAATTGTGGAGCAGGTAGGAACAGGTACCCAGCTTCCCGTGAGGGTTTTTCCCTCGCAGCCCCAGGAACGGGGCCCAACCCTCCCTCCCGGCGCAGTGTCCAAGCGCCCGGAGAGCGGTGGCTCCCCCGGGGCTCTGGGCTGGGCCGGGACCCACACTCGGTGCCGCTGCTGCCTTCCCATCCCGCGCGGGGGGCCCTGGCGTCCGGCCCGGGGCCCGTGGTGCTGCATGGGGCTCGGCCCGCAGCRGTGGCTCCCACGGGAGCGGGGYCGGGCTCCCTGCCAGCGCCCGGGAGGCTCCTGGTGATGGGACACCCTGTTTGGGCACCCATGGGTGCCCCAGTGTGGGGCGGGAGGCGTCGGGCCGGCCCCCTGTGCCGCCCCACAGCAGAAGGGGCGAGCGCCGGCCCAAAAAGCGCCGCCTCTGGGGCAGCTGTGGGTCCCCGCTGGCCCCGGGTAATTCCATTTCTTTATTTTTTTCCCCTCGCGCTATGAATGGGTTGTGCCGTAAATTACAGCCTTGCGCGCATTCCCCCGGGCCGCGGAAAACAGCCTCCGCCGCGCGGCCCGCCTGGATTGGCGCGCGGCTCCCCCCTCTGCGCGCCCTAATTGAAACCAAATGCGCGAGACGTTGGATTGTGGGACGTCTGGCCGGCTCCCAGGAATCCGCAGAATGCACCGGCGCTCGCACAGGCGTCTTGCATCAGCCCGGCGACGTTCGCGCGGCAGCGCCCGGCTCCCGCGGCCGGGCCGAGGGGCGACGAGGCGCCCGCCCGGCCCCACGACACGGTGAGTGTCCGTGGGGCGCGTGGGGCAGCGCCGGCACCCCCTGTTGCACAGGGACCCTGTGTTCCTTGGGGATGGACACTGCGGGGACCCCCCAGTTCTGGGAGCTGGTCCATAGGTACCCAACGCCAGCCCCTGGGTTCGGTACCGGCAGGGCGGCCTCCCTGCTGCGGGGCTGGAATTTGGCCCTGGCTCTCCTGCCGCCCCTGGTTCCCCCTCCTCCTCCTCCTCGCGCTCGCGGTGTTTTCCTGATGCGTGTCCCCTTGGCTCGCGCGCCTGTTGCTGTTGGCAGCGCCGGTGTCGGGGCCGGCGGTCCCCGGGGTGCCCGGCCGGGGTGCGGATACCGAGCATCCCGTCCCGCTGCCGGCGGCGGCCCGGGGGCGATGCCACACGCCCCTGGGGGCACGYTGGGGACGATGCGGGGCGCCGCTCGCTGCCCCGGCCTCCCATCCGCACAGGGACACTCGCGCCTGCGGAAAGCGGCGCCGCGTCCAGCRCGGCCAGGGGCTGAGATGGTGTTTGGGGGACCACGGGGCGCAGCGTGTCGGGGGGCTCCTGGCCACGGGCCTGGAGTGCCACGTGTGTCCGGGGACGGGTTTGGGGCTCATCCCCGCGCGTGGCCCCTGTGCATCCCGCTGGCATTTGGCGCCATGGGGCTGCTCCCAGGCAGGCGCCTTCGTGGGGCCCCGCGAAACCCAGATGAGAGCTCCTCTTTTTTTTTTTTTTTTTTTTTTTTTTTTTTTTTCTTTTTTTTTTTCTTTTTTTTTTTTTTTTTTTTTTTTTTTTTTCTCTTTTTCTTTCCCCAAATTTTCCCTGGTAATTTTGTGTATAACAAGGGGAAACAAAAACAGAAAGAAAAGGGAAGAGGAATGCTGAAAACGAAGTGAAAGGTGCCAGGAAGAAACACCGAAAATGTGGTGCAGTAAAAATTTCCAGCGCCTGAAGTTTTTCAGCAAACATTTTCAGGCAAAAGCGCAGCGGAGCCGTCCCGCTCCCGGAGCTGGTGGAACAAAGATCATTTCCAGCTGTTGTGCCAATAACTCGCAGCCTCTCTGAGCAAATGTGTCTGTGCCCGGAGCCCCGACCTGTGAGTCACTGTCCCCCCGCATCCCGGTGCCTCGCGCCGTGGCTGCGATGACAAAGTCGCCTTGCGTTGAGCTAAATGCAAATCCCTTCCCTTTGGGAGCTTGCAGCATCTGGTATCCCGATGCTGGAGGAGTTTATGCAGGCTGAAAAGAATAGCGGGGGRAAAAAAAAAAATCCCTGCGGATGTTTTTTTGGACCGCAGAAGGAAATGGAGCGTTTTTGTGCCGCGGCGTTTGGCTGGGCTCGGGTAGGAGCCTCGCGGGCACCGCTCGCCAGCGTGGAGCTCGGCACTCAAATCCCAGTCTGCGAGCAGGCACGTAGGCCTAAACTTTCCAAGCTAGGGAGAGAGCAAAATGGGAGGGTACAGGAGCTTTTCCGAAGGGACGAAAGGAGGAAGACAGGGGTGCAAAGCAGCGTGCTTGCTCGCGCGTCCCGCCGCGCTGCTAGCGCCGTGTCGGTGTCGGCGGTGCTCGCGGGCCGGAGGCCGCCACAAAGGGCCGCTCTGTCCCCCGGCGCTCGGCCGGCGCGGGCCCGGCCAGGAAAGGCAGCCCTGGCTTGAAAATAGTTATATTGTGCACACCTATAGGGTGTAAAGGTGCTGGCGAGCTGCCCCGCGCGGCCCCGGGGCTCCTGGTGCCGCAGCGGCAGCGAGGGGGCTGCAGGGGTTTGCCTTGCTCGCACGGACACCCGTGGGGCGGCGAGGGGCCGTGTCACGCTGCGGCGGGACGTGGTGGCAGTCAGGATGGCTGGAGCCCCGATGGCTCCAGCCCGTCCCGCAGCAGCGGGTCGCGGTGCTCTCCAGAGCCGCCGCTGCCCGTCACATCCACGGCTTCTTGCTGGGCCCTTCTGGGCTCCTCTTTGCCGCGGCAGGGCTGGGAACCGCCTCGCCCCGCAGCGCTGTCACGATAAACATGCTGTAAATCACGGGCGGTTATCTGCGATGGTGTCTGCTGAGCCAGAAGGCAGGGAAATGGTGTTTTGCAATGTGCTATTATTTTATTACGCTGTGGGGTTGTGCAACATCTCGCTTTCAAACCCTTTTGGGGATGGGAAGGCCAGTCAGGGCGTTCCTGGAGCGACACCAAGCCCAGCGGCACCGTCCTGGAGCGGCGTGGCTGGATGGCTCCTCATGGAGTTGCATGGACCAGATCCCCCCTGTGCTGCCCCAAAGGGGCCCCTTGTGTGGGGCTGGTGGCCCTGGAGCAGTTCGGTGGTGCCTCGGTGTGACCGGTCCCGGCTCTGTGTCCGCAGGCTCCAGGACCAAGGCGACATGGGGGCCCTGGCCAGCCCGGCCCCGCTGCTGCTGCTGCTGCTGCTGGGCATCCCCCGGGCCGCGAGAGCCCAGGTGAACCCGGGTAAGTCCTGCACGTCCCCGTCACTGCCGGTGGCCCAAGGAGCGCCCGGCCCTGCTGCCAGGCCCCGCTCCTCGCGCTTAGGATGAGCTCAGCTCGGTATAGCCTGCCTCATGGTGTGTGGGGCGATGGATTGAGTTGGATTGATGRGTGGAAATTGGATTGAATGTTAGCAAGGAAATCCCATTAAAGGGCTGCACCTGCAGGGCTCGTCTCTCTCCTGCCGTTCTCCCACGCTGCGCGATGGACACGGGTGGGGTGAGACAGGCTTTGAGATCTTGCTCCCKCTCTGCAGCAAGATCTGTGTCCAGGACATCAAGGAGGATGCCTTGCAGGTGGCTTCCCACTTGGAAGCTCATCCAGCTCTTCCACAGGGCACCACCTCGACGTGGCAGACGAGGCRCGAGATGTTTCTGTTGACACGCAGGGGAAGCTATAGCTTGGTCGCTGTGGAACAAGGGCCAGAGCAGCCTCTCCACGGTCCCACGTGCCATGCAGAAGGGCATGGGGACGAGTGGAGGGCGCTGCAGGTCCTTGGCAGCTGCATACGGGGCGAGCGGCAGCCCGTGGGGCAGGCGGGTGTCCCTGCCGCAGCACTGCCCGGCCCTCGGCCTCCGCACGGCCGTGTGCTTGGGRGTGGTTTGTGGAGGCACCTTTGTGGGCTGGAGCCGGCGGCGAGACAGCAAACACGGCCAGACAAGCTGCTCTTTCAGTAGCGCTCTTGGCAGCTGGGCGTGAAAAATAACTGCTGGGAAGCGCCGCTGGATGCGGTGCCCGTGGCGCTGGCGGCTGCCCGCGGGACCCGCCAGGCTCCGCGGCCACCAGGTACTTTTCCACTCCCGAATGGCGCTGCTGGAGCAGGAGCCGTGTGGGGATGGCGCTGTGGGCACCAGGGTCAACCCTGGTGGGGATGGCAGTGCTGTGGGCACCAGGGTTAACCCTGATGGGGATGGCACCGTGAGCGCTGTGGGCACCAGGGTTAACCCTGGTGGGAATGGCAGTACTGTAGGCACCAGGGTTAATCCTGGTGGGGATAGCAACACAGTGAGCGCTGTGGGCACCAGGGTCAACCCTCGTGGGGATGGCAGCGCTGTGGGCACCAGGGTCAACCCTGGTGGGAATGGCAGTACTGTAGGCACCAGGGTTAATCCTCGTGGGGATGGCACCAGGGTTAACCCTCGTGGGGATGGCAGCACCGTGAGCGCTGTGGGCACCAGGGCCGACCCTCGCTCCGCTGGGAGCCCCAGGCCCCAGCCYGCTGGACAGGTCCCGGGACTGGTGGAGATGCCCAGGCAGGGCTGTGGGGCACGGGCAGCCCCATGCAGCCTCCGCTCAGCGCCCCGCTGGTCTCCTTGCAGCCGTGTGCCGGTACCCGCTGGGCATGTCCGGCGGGCACATCCCCGATGAGGACATCTCAGCCTCCAGCCAGTGGTCCGAGTCCACGGCCGCCAAGTACGGACGGTGAGTGCCCCTCACGGCGTGGGGAGGGCTGGCGGGAC